CCACCCTACAACACAGACAGAAATATTGTGATAATTCTGCTTAGATAACTTTATATTCCATAACTATTCTCTCTGCTCTCTCCATGACTGAAATGATACTTCTTTTCTTTTTATCTAATTAGATCCAAGCATAGCATACTTAAGTAAGTTCCTTATTTCTTTTCAACATGGGAAGAAGAAGAAGCGAACCTTTTGTACCCATTGGCAGTCTCCTGCTCGTTCATGGGCCGGCATCTCACCACCACCTTCACCGTTTCTGCTTCGTTTCCCTTCATCCTGGCCTCTGCTCCTTGTACCATGCCTAACACTGCTGAAGAAAAGGCATTCTTTAGAGTTCCTTTTAACATCCACCTCTGCTTAGTATGTTACACTTTTTGGGAAAAATAAAGCAACACAGGGGAAACAAATTCAAGCTGGACTTTCCTATTTCTTGTACCACAGAGCAACATCAAACATACGTCTATCTAATGCAAAATCAAAAGGGAAAAATATCTGACAAGCCAAAAGAAATACATTTTGGGTTGAGATACTTACATTTCTCTTACCCTCTTTTTGTATTACCTAAAACATCTCTTAAATATATAGACTTCCAATGTGAAGAATACCATAAAACTTGTGAATGGTGTTCATTTTACAAAAGCAAACATCCCAGAATAAAAAGTTCTAAGGTACACAATAGAAACTTTTCTCTCGCTTTAATTTATGTGAAATAAGAACAGTAAACCATCCATTCCAAAATATTAGGCAATAATAAGAGGTTACATTACCTCTTCCAGTTTTGAACTGTATTCATGTTGACAAGTGTAGAAAAGGTATGAATGAGATTGGATATCTTCACTCATTCTCATTAATACCTTTTCTAAATCTTCCCATTTTCATAACACAAAATCAATTTTTCTATCAAGAAAAATCCTTGGAAAGATGAATCCCCACTAAATTATTTCACTTGCCTTGTTATGTCTTTTCAATATTCATTAATTTCAATAGCAAGGATCTTAACTACAATTTAGAGGTTCATAAGCAGCATCTGTAAACATTAATTGTAATGACTATTTTAAGGACATTTAGTTTTTCTATACTCATGTTTGGAATACAATAAGACAAAGAAATGTATATTTAAATGCAACAATAAAGCCTAGATATCATTCAATTTATTCTTTTTTTCTGAGAACATAATCACTTTCTTTCCAATGATCATTCATTGAATAATCCTCCCAATCTTAACCAATATATTCAATTAGACACTGAAACAAAAAGAACTAAGACACATTCGTGTTCTGTTCTCTTGGTTCCCAATTTCAACTACCAATAAATAAGATAAGAAATAAGAGAGATTTCAAGTCTTCACGTCCTGAAACAAGACAGGATGTAACAAGAACCTGAAAAAAGAGGTGTTAAGGTGTCTATCATGTCCATCAGGCAGACTCATAATTCAATAAACCAGAATTTAAAAATCCCCACCTTTCAATCTAGTCACAATCACTGCATCATCAACAAACTCAATTTCTAGCTTACCCATTGCCTACAAAAATCCCATTGAGCTAACTGTAAAGAAATTATGTCTATACAAATTATGATAGACAACAGAGATGGAACTGGGATACTGTTTATGAAATATATTTTTGCTTATCTCTCAGATATCTTCCTATGACTACTGTAATTAGTCAAGTCAAATTTTTACATGCCATATTTTTTTCTGTTAGTAGTGGTCTATTGGATACTCTGAACCATCCAAATTTAACAGCATAATTTCACACAGCATATATAGCAAGCTTCTACTGAATTCTACTTATTCATCATCTGAATCAACAGTGAAACATAAGGCATTATTTGTCTTTAAAGTAGAGCAAATCACAAATTTGTGAACATTAAACTGGCTCAGACCATTTTTAAAACTTTTTAATTTCTAACATATCTTTCATAATGCAATGCTGAGATCAGAAAACAGTTCAAAATCCAAGTAAAACTACAGAACACAAAAGTTATACCTAACACACTTCTTAATGATTATTCATAAAAATATAGCACTTACAAAACCATCACCACAATGGCACAATAGGCTGAAAGGAGAATTTCTGAGAAAATGAAGGGAGCCCACAAAAACAAGAAATACAGAGAGTGGATTATTTTTCAAGCTTAAAAATATTATCTAAAATGACTTAAAACTTTAAACATTTACAAGAGTATATTATACGAAAAAGGAGCAAAAGGTAACCATCAAACCAAAACAAATACCATGTCTTATATGAATCCATCAAGTCATTATCAACTAATATTAGTGAACTTCCACAACTAATCCTTATGCAAAAATAACATTTTATAAACAGTAAAAACAAAAAGTTTCACAGAAACTGAAGTCTCTCCCATGCAACATCTCCAGACTCATGGAATCCTTACAAACAACTCATGGTCTTGCCTGTTCAATTCTTTACAGTTAACCATCTTATTCTTCCCTCAAACCTCCCACCTATGATCCTAGCACACTATTTGAACGCTCAACTTACTAGAAACTGATAGCCCATAAAACTATGATCAAACAATTGAAGAAAATTGAATAGACAAATCACACAAGATAAATCTGAAAGTGAGAAGATTTCTTTTTATATATTTTCCTTAAATAGACAAAAAGTATGCCAAGCAAAGTAAAGAAGATAAAAGAAAACACTGGATAAGAGATATATCTATTCACACATGCTTAAGAAAAAGGGTATAAAAAAAACAAAGCTTTTATATTTCCTATAAACACCTTGACAAACATAACTCTTCTTTACATCATTACTCATTTGCCTATGATAAGAATGTACCAGCTGCAAATGTTTTCTAACTACAAAAGAAATCAGTATAAGTATCATCAGTAATTTCAAGTTTCAGAACAAAGAAAAAAATAATTTTAACTCTTTCTCTTTTCAGTTGAATTTAAAGTCACCAAAATTACGTTCATATGAAAGCTGGTTTACATTCCCTTTCATCAGAGTTATGTCAGCTTCAACTACGAGTTTTAAATAATGGTTGATTTAGAAACCTATGAATTCAAAACAATAAAAAAGCATGACAGTATGAAGCATGCAATTATGAACAGATCAAGTGACTCCTGCAACTCACTACCGGAAAAATGTTCTCTGCCCCAAACCGGAATGTTTTCAACAACCGCCTGGGCAGGTACTGTAAAGACCAGAAGGTAAAGATTGGCTGGAAGGCATTGCTTTCAATGTGGCACAACACAAAATTGAAGGCAGCTGCATTTAGTGATTCGGAGCGGGATAATACTAAACTACTAAAGATTATGCAAATACAAATATACATATATCATCTACCCTGTAAAAGTTTATAGCACTAATTTTACTGTAACACATGAAGGGATATCAAAAAATAAACTAATCATCTCATTATACTCATTTATATATAGTTAGAAATATTTTAAATTTCCAATATACTATAAGTTAGCAGAATATCCTAAATCACATCTAATAAACAAGCAAAGAATTAGATAAAGAAACCACTTAAAATTTACTTCTGTAAATTTGCAGTACTCCACAGCTAACCAAATACTTTACTTTTAATGTAATTTAACAAGATACATCCAATAGGGATTCCAACAGGGAATAAGCACCCTGTTTATCAAAACTACTTCGCATAATAACAAAAGTATAAAAATCTAGGTCAAAATATACAAACAGTTGGCGTCCTTAACATAGAAAAATATTGATTACCATTCAACCACTGCCACGTATGTGCACTACCAAAGGTCAATCAATAAACACAGATCTACAAGTCAGGTGTTGTACTTGCCCTTCAAAAATACATATAACACTAAAATAAATAAAAATCCCTGAAAATTCAACAATTCTGTATATGAATGTCTTATTCAAAGATACTTACTAATAATTGTAAACAGAGAAAGAGAACAGATATAAATTGCAGATATTTTAATCATTGATTTTTTCCAAGAAACTTATCATAATTTCATTCTTAGACCACCAAAATCACCCTATGACACTTTATCTTCCTATAAATTTTCAAATTCACTACTAACATCTTCCACATAGAAACAGACTTTTTCTGGCAAAAATGTCAGAAAGCCAGTTCTTAGCAACAGAAGTGAGAATTGTGCCAACTTAAACCCTCAGCACCAGGGTATTCTTCCACTTGTGGTTCACATAAATTGGTTTGAGTTTATCTGCCACAAATCTGTCCATCCCCACACCTACAAAAATGTAGTCTCTGAATACCAGTTCATATTGTCAGCTATACAAAAACTCCTCACACCACCACCTTTAGTATGGCATGCTGTTAGTTCAACCATGCCCACAAAAGACAGACGGGACCCAAAGTGCCACAGGGAGGGGATATGTGGGGATATGCTGCATGATTACTGGCATCTGGGCCAAGAGGGTAAAAAAGTAATGAGAAATCAACCCTAACACAACTGCACCAACCTTTTTTGATTACTGCATGAGTGAGTGAGTGAGTGAGTGAGTGAGTGAGTGAGTGAGTGAGTGAGTGAGTGAGTGAGTGAGTGAGTGAGTGAGTGAGTGAGTGTGTGTGTGTGTGTGTGTGTGTGTGTGTGTGTGTGTGTGTGTGTGTGTGTGTGTGTGTGTGTGTGTGTGTGTGTGTGTGTGTGTGTGTGTGTGTGTGTGTGTGTGTGTGTGTGTGTGTGTTGTGTGTGTATGTGTGTGTATGTGTGTATGTGTCTGTATGTGTATGTGTCTGTATGTGTATGTGTCTGTGTGTGTATGTGTCTGTGTATGTCTGTGTGTGTCTGTGTGTGTGTGTATCTGTGTATGTCTGTGTATCTGTGTATGTCTGTGTATGTCTGTGTATGTCTGTGTGTATCTGTGTATGTCTGTGTGTATCTGTGTATGTCTGTGTATGTCTGTGTGTGTCTGTAGTGTCAGTGTCAGTGTCAGTGTCAGTGTCAGTGTCAGTGTCAGTGTCAGTGTCAGTGTCAGTGTGTGTGTGTCTGTGTGTCTGTGTCTGTGTCTGTGTCTGTGTGTGTCTGTGTCTGTGTGTCTGTGTATGTCTGTGTATCTGTGTATGTCTGTGTATGTCTGTGTATGTCTGTGTGTCTGTCTGTGTCTGTGTGTCTGTGTCTGTGTCTGTGTCTGTGTCTGTGTCTGTGTCTGTGTCTGTGTCTGTGTCTGTGTATGTGTGTCTGTGTATGTCTGTGTATGTCTGTGTCTGTCTGTGTCTAATAGATAGAAAGATAGAGGTAGATAGATAGATAGATAGAGGTAGATAGATAGATAGATAGATAGATAGATAGATAGAGGTAGATAGATAGATAGACACAGACAGATAGACAAACAGACAGATAGATACATATAGACAGATAGACAGATAGACAGAGAGAGAGAGAGAGAGAGAGAGAGAGAGAGAGAGAGAGAGAGAGAGAGAGAGACAGACAGACAGACAGACAGACAGACAGACAGACAGACAGACAGATAGATAGATAGATAGATAGATAGATAGATAGATAGATAGATAGATAGATAGATAGATAGATAGATAGATAGATAGATAGAGACAGACAGACAGACAGACAGACAGACAGACAGACAGACAGATAGATAGATAGATAGATAGATAGATAGATAGATAGATAAATAAAGAGATAGACATTGAAAGATACCTATATATACATACATACAATCATACATTCATATATACATACATACATTCATATTCATACAAAAACATATACACATACATACATTGACTGACAGATATTAGTAAAGAGCCATTTTAAATTTATTGTAAAATCCATAGTTTCTCTGATTAAACTAGTCCTTCCTCTTCATTATGCCATGTCTCACAGTCAAGGAATATTCTTAGCAATTCACATTTACATCGCTACATTACTGAGCAAGAATTTGGAGCATAAAAGAACAAGAAGCAGCAAACTGGCTAGGAAAATCCTAATATCTGTCTAAATAGCTCTACCTCGTGTGCTGCAACATCATTCCAGTAACAATATCAATAACACATCTGCTGCAGTGCCACAGTGATATACCATACTCCATGTTAGATGTTGAGTATAAATAAATAAGGTTCATGGTTTTCTTACATTCTGACCTCTTTTCTGACTAGCTCATAATACTGCATGAAGCATAATAAAATGCAATTCTTTTTTTTTTTACCCTATTCACTTCACTTAATGAATTATAAACAGTACATAAAATACAGAACTAAACTCTTTTATGAATATACATATAAAGCATATCCACATCAACAGACCTAACCTAATAACAAAGAATCAATATCCTCAATTAAGTTCTTCATAAGCAACCAAACATAAGATATGGAGAAAATACTCATAATACAAAAAATACATTAACTATCCTGGACATCACCTAGAACAAAAATAATTATGGTCATCAATACCTCCTACCATTCAATTCATCCATCCATAACTGGCTCCACCTAGCAACTGTTACTAAGAGTGCTCAAAAATTAACTTGAAGCTTTGTGATAATATTGAGATATCCAAGATTATGCTACCATGGAAACCACACCATGGTTATAATTATCAAACAACATAAGAAATCCACATAGAACTTGTAACTAGTTTAAAGAGCACGGTTATTTTTCAAATGGTAAATCATTTAACGTTTACCAATCATATTTTTGTATTTTTTCTTATATGTAGTTTTTACTTTGCTTAACATCGTGGGATAAGGTGAATGCCAAAGGCAACCACAAAAACACTAATAATGTCACCCCCTAAGCAACCACAAAAACACTAATAATGTCACCCCTATTTTCTCACAGATAAAACATCAATTATTCAATCAAAACTCCACTTCAGAATACCTTCATTTACTTAGAGATCAAAATAAAACGTCCAAAGTCAATACAAAATAAGAAAATTGAGAATGATTATGCCTTGACACTAGGGTCTCTCCCATGAGTCACACGTCAATCTTAGATATACTGGGCTTATTTCACACATTTCTATTGTTTATAGGCATGATGACATCTGTTCTTGTTGTTTCGGTTTATTTTGCTTTATGAGTGTTATATTTTGCCTTAAAAATGAATTGATATCGCAAGAAAACAAGGTCATGAGTCATCCACGGACTGTAAACAAAACGCCTTTTTTGTTATATCAAATTTCTCAGCAAAAAAACGACGATTCTGTTACAAAACAACACATAGCAATGCCAGCCATTGATAAAACAACTGCTTTACATTTACCTCGACATTACGCATTAACATGACCAAAAAATCAAGTCAATTCGAATGGGAAAGAGAGACGAATTCCCGAAACCCCAAAAAATCGACCAAAAAAAATCGCTACACAATTCACGCTTCGCCCTCATTTCGGCTCTTGATCCCTCCCGAACTGGCCTCCTCATTTACCTCAAGTATTCAGGAAAGCGGCCTCATATCGGAGAGAAGGGCCGAGCGTCCGCCCTCGTCCACAAGTGCCAAAGAAAGCCGAGGAAGTGGGAATCCGAAACGGGAATTCTGGAATGTTTGTTTTCGATCCTAGGCAGACGA